TCCTCAGTACTGTTCGTCTCCGCACGATCGTTTTGTTATTGTTGTTTCTTTCTCCCGAGGGTTAAATTGTTCGCTTCTCGGTTTGTCCCGCGTCCTCCTTAGTCAGAGTGGGGTCCCAGCTCCGTCTTGTTCATTCTGCATCTGCTATTACCACAAAAGAAGGGCAGGACTGGAGTTAAGCTCTCTTGGCCTCTCCTGTACCTTAGCGTCGGAAGATTTTTAGTTCAGAAGCCTGCTCTGCCCTGGTTCCGGCTGTTCGCGGCAGGACGACTTGAAAGCCGTGATTTGTTTTTGTGCCTGTCCTCTAGCCAGTCGCCCTGCAGTCATCGTTTTCTGTCACACAAGAACACCCTCCCTTTCGCTCAAGCCATTAACCGCAGTTAGTCTCAGTCCAGGCCACCATCGGTGCGTCCCAAATAGTCTCCCTGGTTTCTGTCTTGCCTCTAGGATCTCTTTACAACGCAAAACTCTATCCTTCCCTTGCTGGAGATGTGCCGTTTAGCTTTCCCATCTCTGGTCCCTGGCCTCAAACTTGCCACAAATTCCTCTATTGCCATTCGTTAGTGCCATGCAGGCCTTTCAGATTAGATGTCGCTCCCAAGAGAAGCCTTTCTGACCATGCTACCTAAAATAGGAAAACAGATAAAAAAGAGGAGTACTTTCTTCTACTTAATCGTGATACGTAAACGGTATGTTTACGCTCTGTGTTCACGACTAGACGACTAGGAGTGACTTCACTGTGGAACACTTAGGACACAGCAAAGTGCATGGCACATGAAAGTAAGTGCTCAGTAAATATATGTTAAATTATAACCCTGGCTCTGGTATGTATTCGCGTATTAGAGGATGGTAGGATGGAACCAGCCAGCAGAGGGAGAATATGTGAATGTGTTATAGTAAATCTTGAATCTGCAGTAATGCAACTCTTAATAGTACAAAAGATGGGTTAAAGAAACAGTGCACGGTGATAAAGAACGTTGCTGGGAAGACAAGAATGGGAACCCAGGTAGTGTTACTCTGAAGCCCACACTCTCAATCAGTATCTTGAAGGAAGGAACGTTTATTGTCTATTACATATTGATCCCATATTTTTCTTCAAGAAATAAAAACTGTATTTCAGGTAAACAATAATTTACTTTCCAAGATTAGTACATCCCATCTTCCACTTCAGTATTGCAAAGATTTTAGGCCTGTTTTACAAAGTGCAAATATTCTACTATATCCTGTTTGATCTTCTAGTATTAATGTACAGAATGTTTGTGAAATGATGCGTTTAAAACCCACGTAATTTTTTCTGTAATGAGGTGAAAACATAACAAAGTTAATCATTTTTAAGTAAACAATTCATTGACATTTAGTACATTGACGATGTTACGCATCCACTATTTGCATCTAGTTCCAGAAGGAAACCCTGTACTCATTCAACAGTTGCTTCCCATTCCTCTTCTCTGGCAGCCATGGGCAACCACAAATTTGTGCCTGTCTGTATGGATTTATGTCTTCTGTATATTTCATATAAATTGAATTATACAATGTGACCATCATGTCTGACTTCTAATGTCTTTGAAGTTCATCCTCGTTGTAGCATTTATCGATATGTCACTCCTTTAAAATTTTTTATTTTTATTTTTATTTTTTTTTATTTTAGCAAAGAGCTCACTCAAGTGGGGAGAGCGGCTGGCAGGGTGGGAGGGAAAAGAGAGGGAGAGAATCTTAGGCAGGCTCTATGCTCAGCGTGGACCCTGATTCAGGGTTCGAGTCCATCACCCTAGGATCGTGACTTGAGCTGAAATCAAAAGTTGGATACTCAACAGACTGAGACACCCAGGCACCTCAATACATCATTCCTTGTTATGATTGAATAATATTCCACTGTATGTATAGACTACGATTTGTGTATCCATGCATTCATCCAGTGATGGACATGGGCCGTTTCCAACTTTTGTGAGTAGTGCTGGTATGTGTGAGTACCTGTTTAAGTGGAATTAATGGGTCATATGTTAATTCTGTGTTTAATTCCTTCAAGAACTGCCCAGCTGTTTCACAGCTGCTGAGCCATTTTACATTCTCACCAGCAATTTATGAGGGTTCCAATTTCTCTACATCCTAGCCAACACTTGTTATTTTCTTTTTTTTATTATAGCCATCCCAGTGGGTGTGAAGTGATACCTCATTGTGGTTTTGATTTGCATTTTCCTAATGAATAATGATGTTGAGGATTTTTTCACGTACCTGTTGGCGTTTTGTATATCTTCTTTGGAGAAATAGGAAACTAAACAAAACAAAAAAACCCATAATTGGGCAAAGTATTGAATAATTTTTTTAATAGTTTATTTATTTGAGAGAGAGGGAGCAAGTGGGGGTGGGGTGGGGGCGGGGGGCGGGAAGCAGAGTGAGAGGGAGACACAGAATCCAAAGCAGACTCCAGGCTCTGAGCTGTCAGCACAGAGCCTGATGCGGGGCTTGAACCCACAAACCATGAGATTATGTCTTGAGCCGAAGTTGGATACTTAACCTACTGAGCCACTCGGGTGACCCTCCAATTATGTTTTTTTGCTCTAATTGTTTTCACTGAAGTAGTGGTGGTGAGTTAACATGAGGCCAAGAGTAAATCCCAAGAATACTCCTCAGGTGTTTCTATTTTTAATGCATTTTTTATTGTGATAAGCAATGCAAAATTTGCTGTCTTAACCATTACCAAGTATTCAATTCAGTAGTGTTAAATATAATCACGTTGTAAAACAGATCCTCAGAACTCTTTCATCTTGCACAACTGGAACTCTATACCCATTCAACAACAACTCCTCCCTACCCAAACATATCCCTGGTAACCACTATTCCACTTTGTTTATATGAAGGATCTCAAGTAGTGAAATTCATAGAAATGGAATCATATAGTATTTGTCTTTTTGTGATTGGCTTATTTCATTTAGCATAAGGTCTTCAAAGTTCATCCATGTTGTAGCATGTAGAAGCCTTCCTTTTTAAAGCCTATTAATATTCCATGGTATCTATATACCAGATTTTATTTATTTGTTGATGAATATTTGGGTTGCTTCCACCTCTTAGCTATTGTGAATAATGCTATAGCAGGTGAGAATTATACCACTGAAACACCAATGTGTGAATAATGCTGCTATGACCATAGATATGCATGTATCTGTTTTAAGCCCCTGCTTTCAGTTTTTTTGGATATATACCCAGGGTGGGACTGCTGGATCATACGGCATTTCTACTTTTAATTTTTTGAGGAAACTGTGTACTGCTTTCCATAACAGTTGCACCATTTTACAATCTCATCAACAGTGCACAAAGGCTGTTTGCTCATTTTGAATAAGCAGGTCTTGTTGAGTTGTAAGAGTTTTTTGTATATTCTGAATATTGCACTTTTATTAGATATATGATGTGCAAACATTTTCTACTGGGTCTTTCCACTTTCTTGATAATGTCTTTTGATGTACAATAGTTTGTAATTTTGATGAAGTCCATTTTTTTCTTTATGTTCATGCTTTTGGAGCTGTATCTGAGACAAATCCATTGCCAAATCTAAGTCATGATGATTTACACCTATGTTTTCTTATTTTATTAAATAAAATTAAAAAAAAAAATTTTAAGTAATCTCTACACCCAGGACGGGGCTTGAACTCACGACCGTGAGATCAAGAGTCCCACGGTCCCCTGACTGTGCCAGCTAGATGTCCCTACCCCTATATTTTCTTTCAAGAATTGTATGGCTTCAGTTCTTATATTTAGGCCATTGATCCATTTTGAGTTAATTTGTTAATATGGTGTAAGGTAGTGAGTCCAACTTTAATCTTTTGTGTATAGATAACTAGTTGTCTCACCACCATTTGTTAATGAGACTATTCTTTCCCTCATTGAATGATCTTGGCATCCTTGCTGAAAATCAATTGGCCATAGATCTATGAGTCTGCACTCTCAATTGTTTTCCATTGGTCTGTATGTCAGTCCTTACGCTAGTACCATGCTGTTTTGATTTACAGTTAAGTTTCAGAAATCAGGAAGTATGAGGCCTTGATTTGGTTCTTCTTTTCCAAGATTGTCTTAGCTCTTTGGGATCCCTTGTAATTCCATAGGAATTATATGCCATTTATGCAAAATATGCCTTTGGAATTTTGATAGGGATTACATTAAGTCTAGAGATCAATTTTATTATCTTCACAACATGGAGTCCTCCAGTTCATGAACACAGAATGTCTTTCCATTTATTTAGGTCGTCTTTAAATTATTTCAGTGATGTTTTGTGGTTTTCAGCTTTTCAGTCTCTTACCTCCTTGATTCATTTTATTCCTAGGTATTTTATTCTTTTAGATTGTTTTCTTATTTGCCTTCTCAGATTGTTCATTGCTGGGGTATAGAAACACAACTGATATTTGTGTGTTCATCTTATTTCCTAAAACTGCTGAATTTGTTTATTAGCTTTCTTGTGGATCCTTTGGATCGATCGATCTATCTATATCTATCTATGATCATGTCACCTGTGAATATAGTTTGACTTCTTTCTTTTCAGTTTGAATGCTATTCGTTTATCCCTTCATTTATACCCAGTTGCTCAGGCAAGACCTTCCAGTCTTCCAGTACAACATCAAATAGCAGCATTGAAAGCAGGCATCCTGGGTATATAATCTTAATGGTCAGTTTTAGAATCACCTGAAAACTTTTGAGGACTAGAAACAGTAGCCAGGATTCCAACTCCATTTTCTGTTTGGTCTTTTCTTCCTTCTTCATCAGTAAAGCTGGAATTATAAAAGCTTCTCTTGCAGGTCAGCTGGAAGCTTTGAACTGATAAATGTCCAGTGCCTCTGTACTTCCTGATGCATAAGTGGCTCACACTGACCTTTGCCCTGAAATTTTCATTGCTCCCCAGAGACTTGGCTGTGTCTACTACATTTAATTGCACACTCGTGTAGGACAGGCCATTGTTCGCATAAATGGCAACTTTTTGTTTTAATACTATATAATAATTTTAAGCACATGATCAGAAACAAATAGGAACCCAAAGTATGCAGAATTGAACTGCATGATACTGCTCTTTCAAATATTTCAGTTGCATTAAGAAGCAAATGAATAGGGAACTGCACAGGAAAAAACTGTCACAACTTCTCTGCCTGGTGGCTGGTGAATTCATTTGGCACCGATTTAAGACTGGTTTTGGTGCTGAAATGCTGAAATAGAAAGGAGTGTGAGGCTTAGAATTAAGAAAACATGGTATGTTGTGGTAAAAAGAACGATCACGATCTCTAGGAAATAATATAGACTGGTTTCCCAAATATATTTTTGAGAAAAGTAAATTACTTTATTTTATTTTTTTTAATGTTTTATTTATTTCTGAGAGAGAGAGACAGCATGAGCATGAGAGGGTCAGAGAGAGGGAGACACAGAACCTGAAACAGGCTGCAGGCTCTGAGCTGTCAGCACAGAGCCCAACACAGGGCTTAAACCCACGAACCGTGAGATCATGACCCGAGCCGAAGTCGGATGCTTAACCGACTGAGCCACCCAGGTGCCCCAAGAAAAGTAAGTTACATTTTTAATAAGGGAATAACATAGAGATGTGTTTGTTAATTGAACACGTAATTAAATTGATCACCTTTACCAAGTGGCAATAGGGTGAAGGAATAGTAATGAGCATAAGATGTCCCTGGCTGTGGAGGCATGGCCTAGCCTGTCTCCTACCAGGTCCCTGGGTGGGCTGGATTGCTCTATGGCCTTAGCTGGATGGGCCAGAGCTGCATAGAGAGCCCTTTCAGGATCTCCAGGTCACAGATGGGAGTGTCTCCTGACAGGTCCTTGTGCCAGCAGGACTGTTCACAGACTGCTGCTGGGATGGGCTAGAGTCCAGTTATAGGGCTGTTTCAAAATCTGCACTTTGACCAAGTTTGGTAGACTTATTTTCAGGGGCTATTGGACCCCAGCTAAGAGTAAGAGTGTCTTGGAGACAGTTCATTGGCCACCCCAGTGTCTGCAGCCAGGACTGAAGTCTGTATGCCTATTACCCAATGCATGGGTGGGTGTGACTCCTCCCAAGTCCTTTAGCATATGGCGCTGGTGACAGAACCAAAGCCAAATGGGGCTATAGCCAAGTCCTCGGGGTACAGAGCTGTTTCTGCATCTGTAGCCATGACCACGGTGGGTGAATCAGCAGCCTGGGTGCAGGCTTGCCTTCTCACAACAGCTCTCCTTAGTTTGGGACTGCACCAGGGTTTCACAATCTACCTGGATCTCAAGGCTCCCACAAAGGCACTTTGTCCTCGGATGGATGCCTGATTATTGTGGGGGGGGGGGAGGAGGCAGGGGGCAGATATGAGCAAGGATGTCTTATTTGGCCATCTTTCTAACATTAGTACTCTGAGTATTCCTTTTATAAAGTTTTGACTTCTACATAAATGTTATAAATATTTTTAAATAATAAAAGGATTTTTTATAAGTCACAAAATTTAAGATAAACAAATTAACTATACATCAAATTAAAATCTGGTCAGAAAAAAAATTTCAAGAAACTTGAATACAGTATTCAGACTATATGTTCCTGGTGGGGTATATATTCTAAGGACCAAGAGAAGTGCAAGAAGATCTTAAATTTTACTTAGTAAGTTTGCTAATGATAGATGTATTCGTTTCATAATTCTGAAACTATTTTGTATATATTGTAAGACACAGAGATATTATATCCATTGATGTCTTGGGAACCAGAGTTTACATTGTGGGATATGTAAATGTAGAGAAAACATAGAATCTTGTGGTGTTAGACTTGTATTGGAAGTATCTGTATGCACTCATGTTAAATGTATATATGGTGTGTGAGAGAATGGGGAAGGGAAAAGGAAGGAGAAGGGAAAGAAGATATTTGGGGACAACTGGTAAAATTTAAATATGGATCATATATTAAAATGTATTAGTTAAATAATGTTAACTTTTAGGTACAGTAGTGATATTGAGGCTATGTGGCAGAATATCCTTATTAGAAAGTGCATGCTGAGCATAAAAAGGATCATCCACAAAGATCAAGTGGGATTCATTCCTGGGTTACAGGGCTGGTTCAACATTCACAAATCAATCAATGTGATACATCACATCAATAAAAGAAAAGATAAAAATCATATGATCCTGTCAATAGATGCAGAAAAAGCATTTGACAAAATACAGCATCCCTTCTTAATAAAGACTCTAGAGAAAGTCGGGATAGAAGGAGCCTACTTAAACATCATAAAAGCCATCTATGAGAAGCCCTCAGCTAACATCATCCTCAATGGGGAAAAACTGAGAGCTTTCCCCCTAAGATCAGGAACACGACAGCGATGTCCACTCTCACCACTGTTGTTTAACACAGTGCTGGAAGTCCTAGCATCAGCCATCAGACCACAAAAGGAAATCAAAGGCATCAGAATTGGCAAAGAGGGAGTCAAACTTTCACCCTTCGCAGATGACATGATACTCTACATAGAAAACCCAACAGACTCCACCAGAAGCCTACTAGAACTGATCCATGAATTCAGCCAAGTTGCAGGGTACAAAATCAACGTACAGAAATCGGTTGCATTTTTATACACCAACAATGAAGCAACAGGAAGAGAAATCAAGAAACTGATCCCATTCACAATTACACAAAAAAACCATAAAATACCTCGGAATAAACCTAACCAAGGATACAAGAGATCTGTATGATGAAAACTATAGAAATCTTATGAAGGAAACTGAAGAAGACACAAAGAAATGGAAAAACATTCCATGCTCATGGATAAGAAGAATAAATAGAATTAAGATGTCATTACTACCCAAAGCACTCTACACATTCAATGCAATTCCAATCAAAATTGCACCAGCATACTTCTCAAAACTAGAACAATCTATCATAAAATTTGTATAGAACCACAAAGGACCACAAATAGCCAAAGTAATACTGAAAAATAAAACCAAAACAGGAGGTATCACCATCCCAGACTTTAGCCTCTACTACAAAGCTGTCATCATCAAGACAGTATGGTATTGTCACAAAAACAGACACATAGACCAACGGAACAGAATCGAGAACTCAGAAGTGGACCCAAAAGTATACAGCCAACTCATCTTTGACAAAGCAGGAAAGGGTATCCAATGGAAAAAAGACAGCCTCTTTAACAGATGGTGTTGGGAGAACTGGACAGCAACATGCAGAAGAATGAAACTAGATCATTTTCTCACACCATGCACAAAAATAAACTCAAAATGGATAAAGGACCTGAACGTGAGACAGGAAACTATCAACACCCTAGAGGAGAAAGCAGGAAACAACCTCCTTGACCTCCACCGCAGCAACTTCTTACTTGACACATCCCCAAAAGCAAGGGAATCAAGAGCAAAAATAAACTGTTGGGACCTCATCAAGATTAAAAGCTTCTGCACAGCCAAGGAAACAACCCAGAAAATTAATAGGCAACCAACGGAATGGGAAAAGATAGTTGCAAATGACATATCAGATAAAGGGTTAATATCCAGAATCTATAAGGAACTCACCAAACTACACGCCCGAAAAACAAACAACCCAGTGAAGAAATGGGCAGAAGACATGAACAGACACTTCTCCAAAGAGGACATCCAGATGGCCAACAGACACATGAAACGATGCTCAGCATCCCTCCTCATCAGGGAAATACAAATCAAAACCACACTGAGATACCACCTCACGCCAGTCAGAGTGGCTAAAATGAGCAAATCAGAGAACTCTAGATGCTGGCGAGGATGTGGAGAAACGGGCACCCTCCTACACTGTTGGTGGGAATGTAAACTGGTACAGCCCCTCTGGAAAACAGTGTGGAGGTTCCTCAGGAAACTAACAATAGAACTCCCTTATGACCCAGCAATAGCACTGCTAGGAATTTACCCAAGGGATACAGAAATGCTGAGGCATAGGAGCACATGTACCCCAATGTTCATAGCAGCACTCTCCACAATAGCTAAAACATGGAAAGAGCCTAAGTGTCCATCAACAGATGAATGGATCAAGAAGATGTGGTTTATCTATACCATGGAATACTACATGGCAATGAGAAACAATGAAATCTGGCCATGTGTAGCAACATGGATGGACCTTGAGGGTGTTATGCTGAGCGAAATAAGTCAGGCAGAGAAGGACAAATATCATATGTTTGCACGTATAGGAGGATTAGGAGGAACTTAACTGAGGAACAAGGGGGAGAAGAAGGAGGGAAATGGTGGGGGAAAGGGAGAGAGGCAAACTGTGAGAGACTCTTGAATGCTGACAAAATCTGAGGACTGATGGATGTGGGGGGGGAGGGGGGATGGGCATGGAGGAGGGCACTTGTGGGGATGAGCACTGGGTGTTATGTGGAAACTAATTTGACAATAAACTATTTGTTAAAAAAAGGAAAGTGCATGCTGAAATATTCAGAGGTGAAATGTCATGGTGTTTGTAATGGACTTTCAAATGGTTCAGAAAAAAAATTAGTGTGTGTGTGTGTGTCTGTATTAGACACACACACACACACATATATATAGCATGTATACACAGAATAGTATATAAAATAGTATATAAGGGGGAAGTGGAAGCAAATATAGAAAATATTAACAAACAGCTCATTTAGCAAGGCATATACAGGTATTCATTATATTCTTTCAATTTTTCTTTGGGTTTGATACTTTCTTTTTTTAATGTTTTGTTTATTTTTGAGAGAGCTCAAGCAGGGGAAGGGCAGAGAGAGCGGGAGACAGAGGATCCAAAGCGAGCTCTGCACTGGCAGCAGTGAGCTCGATGTGGGGTTTGAACTCACGAACCACAAGATCATGACTGAGCCCCCCAGGTGTCCCTGGGTTTGACATTTTTCAGTGCATACAAAAAGTTAAGAAATGAAGAGATTCAAGAGGTAGAATGGACAGAACCTATAACTGATAGAAGTGGGAATGGAGGGACAGCCAAGTCAGGAGTGGCACATAGACTTCTGGTTTGTCACAGGGGTGTCATCACTGAGATGGGGAGCTCTGGAGGAAGGGCAGGCAGACAGGGAGTGATGAGGCTTCTGCTTTGGACACCGAGAAAGACTTGTCTATAGGGTACCCAAGTGGAAATGTCTAGCCGACTATTGGACATACAGATTTGGAGGCTAAGTGACACTGTAAAGAGGTGAGCGTAGAGTTGGAGGCATGTGCTCCTTTGCTAGGGCTGTCATAA